AAAAAATTCAAGTTTTGAAGTATTGTTCTAATTTATTTTGGACTTGCTTACCAGCTTTTTCTTTTTGAACTTCCTCACGAATACAGAATTGTAGCTTGCGTAATGATTTCATTGTTACTCCACCATCGTCGATCCTTTCATCAACAATTCTTAAAGCACTATGTAAAATGTTCAATTGTTCCTCCCTAGTTAGGGTGGTACAACAAATTTGTCTTCTACCTGTTCAATTTCTGTAGCAGTGTGAATCAAATCTTTATTGGTAAACTGATAGTGTATTTCTTGTTCTTCTTCAAGGTTTAGCAAGTCTTCAATTGGCATTGGATTACAAACATGCAATATATTTATTTGCTGTTGGAGTTCCTTAACTGCTAGTTCATTATTTGGATCAAAAAATAGGTTTTCTTCCATATCATCAATACCTTCATCAGTAATGAGGAGGACAATAGGTACACCATTTTTATCGTGAGGGGATACAACTTTTGTGCGAAACCAACACCTTTTGATCACTTCAGCTGATACTTCATTCCAAGCAATCTTAGTCTATTTCATAGCCTATAATTAATAATATAAGTTAGTGGAAATTTTAATTAACTGTGACTTGAAGCTAGGATTTAAAATGGGCTGGCCCAAAAAGGCCTATGGGCTTTTTTTAAAAATTAATTCTGCCCATTTTTCATAATACTGGTTATATAATAATTTATTATATAGCTAGTATTATGAAAAATAGCCAGAATTAATTTTTAAAAAAAGCACGCGGGCTTTTTTGGGCTAGCCCATTTTAAACTCTACTTGAAGCTAACCATATTTTTTATTGATTTATTAAAAAAAATCAAAAAAGATAATGATTTAACGATTAATGGGTTTAAAAATTGGTATAGTTGATGCTGAAAAAGATATCTAAAATATAAATTCTATTAAAACCTTTTTTTTTTCTTTTTTGTTTTTTTTTTTAACAATTTAAAATTTATATTAAAATAGGGTTATTTTCGACTTTAGCTATAACAAATTTTAAACCTACTAGTTTTCAACTTTACCTGCAATTGATTGACTTTATATATATCTTTCTCCTCGGCTTCATCGCGATCAATTGCATATTGAAGCTGAATATGACGGTAATAAGATGCAATGATGCTGGCATCCATAGGTTAAATTTTTGATATCATATATAGAGACAACAAGAGCACTTTTATATTAGTAAGAGTGATAGCACTAATAACATGCGAGGAGCACCATCAAGGATAAGTAAAACATGATGATTAGATTGTCTTATTTTTTGATCAAATTTTTGTATTTATTCTTGAAAAAACATGGTGGTCATCCATGCTTTTTTATTATTACAGTAATAGAATCCAAGTTCTTCATCCATTTTTTTTTAAAACATCTAGATCTTGTGGCATGTCTAATAATG